CGCCTGTAATTCCGGCTACTTGGAAGGCTGAGGCGGAAGGATCGCCGGAGCCCAGCGGGTCGAGGCTGCGGTGGCCGGGAGCATGCCATTGCACTCCAGTCTGGGCGACAGAGTGAGACTCCAACTCAAAAAAAAAAAAACAAAAAACATATGCAGTGTTTTCTCAACATAAAAGAATCATCATTGCTGATTTTTTTAGAAGTCAGAAAACAGAAGGAGAAAACCTCTTTCTTTCCTCCAGTGACAGTTCGCCCATAATGTTAAGGATTACTGCCTTCCAGTCCCTGCCTTCCTGGGTGATTTTTTATGGCTGTACAGTAGCTGTGTTTGGGAACCCTTCTTTTTTCTCTTAACATTTTATGAGTAACATTACTCTTCATCAATAACTTCCTAATGGCTCATAATGCACAACGTAATGGTTAATTTGCTCAGCTATTTTTGTTTTATTGGGCATTTAGGTTTTCTATTTGTTTGATTATAAACCGTGTTATGGTGAACATCTTCGTATGTAAACATTTGTTTGCATCTCTAATTTTTCCTCAGACTTTCAGAAATGGAAAAATTATAATGCTTATGGCTAAATTGGACCTGAAAGATGCACCCACTGGTGTACCCACAAATTCCATGTCAGAATCTCTAGCCCCTGTGTGTTTACACTGTTGGGTGTTATTGCTTTTATGAACTCTTTGCTAATTCAGTGGGTGAAAGGCACTCCCTCGTTGTGGTTTCCATTGAGGTTCTTTAACTACTCATTATGTTAAATGTTATTTGTATGTTTTCCCTTAAATGTCAGTTATATTCTTTGCCCACTGAGCCACTGGATTTTTAAGCTCTGTTTAAGCTCTTTCTACCAAGAAGGCTTCTCTCCATGGTAGCTGCTGCATGATTCACAGCAACTGCACGCAGAGTCATGATCCAAGGAAAGTGACAACCTCGTGCCTTTTCCTCACTTGACATTACGTCCTGAGCAGTTTTTCGTGCTACCCCAGGGGCTGCATCCCAGTTTCAACAGCCGAGCTATGGATGTGCACGGGAGGGATGCAGAGAGGTTTTGGGGTGGAATACTGGGATTACAGAGTTGTCAAGGAAGGGTGCCACAGCCCCGGGGTGCAGAGGGTGGGGAGAGGAGTGCATGGTTGGGGTCTGGGTTGCCCTGGAAGGTGGCAGAGAAATGTTTTCTTCCCTTAACTAGCAGCTCGCACACAGGTTTCAGGGCTTGGGGTGCAGAACTCTTTTTAGGGCACACACACACACACACACACACACACACGACTCGATGAAGGTTTTCGGTGCACACACCGATTTCAAGTCTAGCCCGCATTATCAAACGCTTTTTATTGATTTAAGTTTCAGAAATAGTCTGTGCCTCTTGAAACAATAGGAGGGAGGCGTCTCAAGTGAAGAGTGATCATTTGGTGTCTGTCTTTCCGGGTGCTTTCCCCGTTTGTGTGCGTATAAGGGCGTTTTGTGTGTGTCAGCACCTATCCCGTTTGTAGGCGTGGACAGCCACCACATCGTATATATTCCATACGAGTGGAGCTATGACGGGCGCAGCATTCCGAGCATGCTCCCTCTCACCAATCAGAACGTCGTGGCCAATAAGGCCCCTCTACTTGCTGACTGCCACCTTGGGCCCATCGCTCGACCGCCCTGTGCCTCAGTTTCCCCATCTGGAAAACGGAGGCAATACAAAGGTTGTTTTGACGATCAAATGCGAGGACAGACGTACAGGGCTCAGAGCAGTGTCCTTCCTGGTAAGGAGTCTGTGTGATGCGTTATTCTTTCTATTGTCATCCCATGTCCGTAGGTCAGCAGGTGACTCATTTCGCATAAGACCTCCAGAGCAGTTTATTTTGAGGAGTTGGTGTATTGATCTACCTCCTCTTCGTGAATATTAAAAATTGTGTTTTCAGGGCTCTCAGGAAAGCAGACTCTGAGGTAGAGCGTGACCTGCAGAAAGGAGTGTGTGTTCGTTTTCTGCTGCCGCTGTAACAAATTCCCACAACCTTCGTGGCTTTAAACCACACATTTTAAAAAATCTTACAGCTTTGGAGGTCAGAAATCTGAAGTGGGTCTGACAGGGCTAAAATCCAGAGTTGGCACGGCTGTGTTTCTTCCAGGGGCTCCAGGAGAAGCCTTGCCTTGCTGTTTCTGGCTCCTGGACCTGTCTGTGTCGCGGGGCCTCGGGCCTGGCGTGGTGCCAACCTCACTCCCATCGCCGCATCTTCTTCTGTGATGACACTGGGCTCGTCCACATAGCCCAGGAGACATGCCTCGTCTCAAGATCTTTCCCTTCAGCATGCCTGCAAAGTCTCTGGTGCCGTGTGAGGGGTGTTTGCAGGTTTCGGGGCTTGGGGCATGGACCTCTTTTTAGGGCCGTGACCTCTGCCTTCCACAGAGGGATCTCAGCATCAACCCCCGTGAGGGGAGCAAAGGGAGCAGGATTGGCTACTGTGCTCTGAACCCGGGTCGCCCTCCAGGTTTGTCCCAAGGAAGCGCAGTGGGGACGGGACCTTAAGCCTCAAGTCACGGGGTGTGGGCGCCCTGGGAAGGTTTGTGACCCTGAGCGGGGCAGCTCCCCTCATCGAAGGCGGTTCTGCCAGGCTCACAGCTGAGGGTCAACTCCCCACAGCTCTCGCAGAAGCCAGGGTGATCCACCCTTCATTCCTGAAGGTGATGGGGTCTTGGTAGCTCCTCACAGTGTCTGCTGTGGGTTGTTTCCAATTCTTGGCCATTTCTTCTTTTTTAAATTTTTTAAAAGTTTTATTTTAAAGATGTGGGGTACAATTCAGGGTTAGGTCTACAGGCATTGATTATGCAGGGACCCTTGTTGATGAGGTGTGCCCCAACCTCCCCTAGCAGTTTCCCTCAACTGCCAGTCCCACCCCCCTCCCCTGGCAGTTTCCCACTACTGCCAAAACCTTTCTTAAAGTATTAGGATACTTGTTCACGGTCCCCTTATGAGTGAGAACATATGGTACTCTGCTCTTTGTTTCTGTGATAGATCACTGAGTATGAGAGACTCTAGATCCATCCAGGTAGCTACGAAGTCCGTGTTTGTCCTTCTTTATGACTGAATAATATTCCATGGTGTATGAGTACCACTTTTTTTTAATCCAGTCCACCTTCGATGGGCAGCACGGTTGGTTCTGTGTTTTTGCTATTGTGAATAGAGCTGCAACAAACATGCGTGTGCGGGGATTTCTTGGTAGAATGACTCGAGTTCCTCTGGGTAGATCCCCAATAGGGGGATTGCTGGGTCATATGGAAGGTTCTCTGCCGTTTCAAACGATGCTGTAGGAGAACGTGTTTGTGGAAATGCCCAGACTCGCATGGGCCAGTACTTCTGTGGGACTGGCAGCTGGAAGGGGCCATTGCCTCCTGCTCCGGGGGGCGCCTTCAGAGGATGGGGATGGAGCCTGTGAATTGTCTTGCTGTCTTCGCAGGGGCAGGAGGCTGATGTCCCTTTGGGTCATTCCCAAAGCCCTGACACAACAGCAGTGTGGAGCTGTTGAAGGTGGGGGTGGGAGGGACAAGGTGAAGGGGGTGGTTTCTTGGGAGCTCAGTCCAGGTCAGGAACAAACTCCAGCCTGTTCCACTGAGTCGCACTGGGTGGGCCATGAGTGAGCTCGTGGGCTCTTCTCCAACTTGGCTTCATCTTCTAAAACTGGCAGTCTCTCCTTTTCTCTCTCTCTCTCTCTCTCAAACACACACACATACACACACATACACAACGCACACGCACACACACGCACACACACACATGCAACCAAGCAATTGAATGAGTGTCGCACACCTTACAGGAAGCAGTAAAGCACAGGAAGATCCTGGCAATGAGTTGGCCTGCATTCAGGTCCTTCCTCTCCCACTTCCTGGCCGTATGACCCTGGATGTGTTACTGACTGACCTCTTTGGGGCTCACTCCTCACTCTCTCCGAGCCCTGGTACCAGGTGCAAAAGCCACAGTCTGAGTTCGGTGTTAAGTTGCCATCCTGACCCCAGGTCATTTT